TATATATATATATTTCACCAATTTACTAATTTGAGTATTTCACCCGCTTCCTCCATTGAATAATTCGTTATCTATTTGTATTAAAGTTTGCTTTCTAATAATTGAATTAACTCTTTAACAACTTAGAAGAACTTTTATTTAGCATTCAAAACTTATATTAAAATCGATCTTCTTGGATACTTTTAACCTCATCTTGACTATTTCTTTTGACTTTGTGGACAGAAATTCAAAATTTCTATACTCGCAAAATGATGCAATTTGTCTGTTTATTCCCATCAATCCGTCATGAAGCTTGAATCCCAAATATATTATTCATATTTCTTTGAACTTATCCTACTTCATCTAAGGAATGAGTACATTTCTAATTTTCTATTTCTTGGTCATTTATGATATTTTCAATTGATTGTATGAGCTTTTAGTGGAACCTTTCTAAATGAGACAACTTCATTAATTCGAATGGTGTTTTGATCTTCTTTCGAAGTTTGATGCAATTTTGTTGTTATTGTGAAAAACAGAATTCTAAAATTTTGCATTCCTCAAATTGGCGTTAACTATAAATTATGAGAATTCTGCATCAATATCGTTCTTTTAATATCTAGAGTGACAACTAGATAGAATAATTTCCCTATAGATAATCATTTATTAAAAAATTGAAGATTTAGATTTTAACCACACACTTATAATTAATCTAAAGATCGGCTTGATTGAAGGATTTTTTTTATTATTATTTTCATTTCCATTTTTCATAAATAATTATAAAAATATTGTTTCTTTTATTTTATTTTTAGTTACAAAGTTTTGTATAAACAGTGAAAATAATAAAATTAATTTGAAGTTGTTTCCATTTTTTAGTGTACGAGCACGTAAAATTGATAAAAAGTAATTAAACTCCATCATAATTTAGATATGGACAAAACTTAAATATTTTTAGGTTTATATATATTTTATCAAAAAACTTTAACTCGGTTAGTTGAATCGATAACATGCGTTAATATAATTAAATATTGAGTTTGATTTCGATGGATAAAATAAGTTTATATATGGGATGAATGGTAATGATTAGCGTAAAATTTTTTACACGATATTTCAATTACATTTTACCATAAATAATAAAAAAATTTATTTTAAAAAAAAATATTTTAAAAATCATACAAAATTACATTAGTTTGACTATGTAAATTTATTTACACCGAGAGTTCATCTCCATTAATATATATATATATATATATATATATATATATATATATATATTAATATAAAAGATAACTTTTTTATACTACTAAGTACTGTTTATATTGTTAATGTGTTTAAGAATGGAATACTTTTTG